AAAACAGAACATCATCATGGAAGAGTGTAGCAGAGTGAATTGGCTCGAGACGTCATATCAAGAAACGGAGAGAGAGAGACTCATCTTGCCAGACACAAAATATATATTCCAAATGCACTCCCCCAATGTCTACCTCCTTCAGCAACACCCTACCTGCTTTCAGAAACCAACCAGTGAATCCCAGTCAGTGGATTAATTCATTTATTAGGCTAAGGTTCTCATAATCCAAGCACTTCACCTCTAAGCTCTCACACATGAGCTTTGGGGGGAAACCTAATATCTAAACCATAAGAATGGTCAATGAATGAGCTGCCAGTCAAGGTTAACTATTTTAACATTTCAGTTCAAAAACATCAAGGAGGGGCCGGGGTTGTGGCTCAGTTTGTGGCTCAGTGGCAGATCGCTCACCTAGCACGGTGCTAGGTGAGCTCTAGCACGGGCGGTATGCTGGGTTTGATCCTCAGCACTATATAAAAATTAAAATAAAAAAAAAAGGTATTGTGTCCAACTAAAACTAAAAATATTTTTTTTTAAAAAATCAAGGAATAGAACTGTACTCTATACATGAACTGCCATGAGAAAATAGCTTCTCATATCAAGAAAATGGCTTTTGGTGGAAAATTAGAATCTAAAGTACATTAACCACTGACTTGATTTCTTAAATGGACTATACAGAACAAAACTTTTCTTTTCTCGAGGACACAGGGTTATGATTAAGCACATATGATAGTAACTGTAGAGCTGGTAGACCCCTATCTTAAATATAACGCAACTCAAATCTCTCACTTTACAGATGAGCAAACAGATACACAAAGATGTTATGCAATTCCCCCAAAGTCATAGAGTAGGAAATCATACAATAGGAAGGTCATGTGATTACCACATGCCAGGCTGCCACATCTATTATTGTACTATGTTGAACACTATCTTGCAAGAAAATAAGGATTCAGGGGCACAGAACCCCTTATATTTGTTATTTTTCTTATCCCTTCTTTTTTCCATAACCTTTAGCAATAAAGTTCTTTAAATGTACCTATATTTTTATCTTCTGTAAGAAAATGATAAGCCAGCTTACTCCATGGCCCATCTTAGAGAAAGAACTCTGTAAGATAATGTGGTATACTTTTAAAAAAGAAAGTGATGCAGATTTAACCTCTGTACGGTCTTCGAAAGCAAGGATAAAATGAAAAACCCATGCTGTCTTAAGAATAGCTTTGGGGATGTGACTGTCAAGAAGTTGAAAAAGTTCCTTAAGAAAAATCAATACATAAACTTCAAGAGGACAAGGTATCAATAAATATGGGTGCTTGTTGCTACAATAAATGGGGTCAAACCATTGTACTACTTCATGTAGGGTTGCATCTTCCCTTTTCTATAGAGATATAAACTGTCACTTATATATCTAATAATATCCCCAACACAGTTTTTGCAGAAAGTGGTAACTCTCTCTATATCTTCAAAGGGGATAATTCTAATATGCTGAGCATGCTAGAAGTATTTCTAAAATAAGAATAAGTTCTGAGACCTGAAGTATTTCCCTATATATGAAGCATGTCAATATTATCACAAAGCTCTTAGATCTTGACTACTCCTCTGTTCAGTTCTGCTTTCTGCTAGAGTGTACAGATAAGTCACCTCCAATGAGAGGTTACATTATATTGGGGGGGGGGTGTGTACCAGGGGCACTAGACTACTGAGCCACATCCCCAGCCCTATTTTTTTGAGAGAGAGAGAGAGAGAGAGAGAGAGAGAGAGAGAGAGAGAGAGAGAGAATTTAATATTTATTTTTTTTAATTTTCAGCGGACAAAACATCTTTCTTTGTATGTGGTGCTGAGGATCAAACCCAGCGCCACACGCATGCCAGGTGAGCGCGCTACCGCTTGAGCCACATCCCCAGCCCCCTATTTTTTTTTAAATATATATTTTTTTTTACTTGTAGGTGGACACAATACCTTTTATTTTATTTTTATGTGGTGCTGAGGATCAAACCCAGTGCCGCACAAGTGCTAGCTAGGTCAGTGCTCTACCGATAAGCAACAGCTCCAGCCCCCCAGCCCTATTTTGTATTTCATTTAGAAGCAGGATCTGAGATGCTTAGTGCCTCGTTTTTGCTGAGGCTGGCTTTGAACCCGAGATCCTCCTGTCTCAGCCTCCCAAGCAGTCAAATGGGATTACAAGCATGGGCAACCGCACCCGGCTTATAAGGATTATTTTTAATGTCCTTCATTCTGTTTCTTTCTATTTTTCCACAATTCAGGTACTTTATATTATTCTTCTGCCTTTGGTTACTCAAGAGATACTTTCTGTATTTTCTTAGTAGAAGGAAATGGGCTTAACTAAGAAAGTACATAGAATATTTTTTCCATGATCTCTTGAAAATGTGATCTTAAGGAAAACTTATACCTTGTCTTAAAGAAAACAAGAATACAAATTAGTCAAGATTAAAGGGATTTTTAAAATATTCTCAGATGATTCTACTTGAAGCAATTTTCCCTTGGCAGAACTTTAACTGTAAAAAGGAAAAATTATATCTCATAGCCTATTTCTTCATGTTTTTGATATGTGTATGGTAAATTTTCCTTTGTTAATAAAACTAAAATAACAATACACTATTTTTCCTATGATTTATACTAATAGTTCATTTAATAAATTAAACAAAAAGCAACAAGGCTACTTTTCTATTTTAGAAAAGAAACAATCAAATGCATTACAAATAATTCCCATTAAAGGCAATGATAGGGATATTGAAATTGTTTTACTTGGGAAATGACTTTCATCTAGTATTTCAAGTTCCATGTACCTAAAAACAATTCATACCATAGGGTTTGTTTGTTTGTTTGTTTGTTTTGATAGTGGGGGTAGTCAGGGACTGAACCCAGGGGCACTTTATCACTGAGCCACATCTACAGCCCCCCCTTTTTTTTTAATTTTGAGGCAGGGTCTCCCTAAGTTGCTTGGCCTCACTAAGTTGCTGGGGCTGACTTTTAACTTTTGATCCTCTTGCCTCAGCCTCGGGAGCTCCTGGGATTTCAGGTGTACACTACCATGCTGGCCTCCTATCATAAATTTAAGCAATGTTCTTGGGGAAAAATAGTTATGAGGCACTACTGAGCAATATGAAAAGCTTAACTTTTAAGATTAGTTTCCCATAAGTTGTTCTCATACACTGAGAATTAATATTATAGTCCATAGAATGGTCTAAAATAAATCTTTTTTCCAAATACAAAAGAAACCTCCTAATGCAGTTTCCTGGGTCACTAATAGTATACTTCCTCTGTAGACTCAGAACAGACTACAAAAAGATAGGCATATTCCATATTTTTAACTGTACCAGAAAGTAAAACATTCATTAGAAGAATAAAGAGCACTTAACAATATAAATTAACATTCATCAATTAAAATTTGAAGCCAGTAAGAAAAATTATCTTGATTTGAAATTAAAAAAAAGAAAAAACCCATGTTCCTAGGTAACAAAAAAGAAAAGCAAGAATATAGACTTCCAGTACAATATAAAATAACTATTGTAAGATAGATGTTTTCAGTTTTAAGGCAGACTAGACAGAAAATAAAATGAATACCTATTGGCTTTTTCCAGCCCTCACCCAGCATTTCTTTATAGCAGCCATAGCCAGGCTATCTGCAGCTATAGCCAGGCTATCTGCAGCCATGTAGTTATTTTCAGGCTGGGAATAAACATATCCTTGCTGTTCTGAGAACAGTTACTCAGGAAGTACGAGAATTTTTGGTTAACAACACCTTAAATGCTACCTAATGTGTCTTCCCTACATTCAAAAGGAGGAAACCAAGGCTCTGAGAAATTGTGTGGCTCATCCAATTCACATAACTAATGGACGAGCAAGATCTGAACCAAGTGTTCCCAATTATTTCTACTAATACAGGTCAACTCTGAGAGTCAGAACAACCGTTTAACTTTCTGGAATTTAAAGGGTCTTTGAGGGCTGGGGCTATATAGCTCAGTGGTAGAGCACCCACCTTGCACATGAGGCACTGGGTTTGATCCTCAGCACCAACTAACTAAAAAATAAAATAAAATAAAAAAGGGCCTTTGAAAATTTATCAGCTGTGTGATCTTGGTCAAGTTGGATTTCCAAGCCCCTTTTTTCCATTCTGTAAAATGTAGAGAATACTTATTCTAATCAGATTGTTGTGAGAATCACACCTGTCTTGCTAAGTGCTTAGCCCACTAATTAGGAAATATTAAGCATTTGAAGACAGGTGGCTATTGTTTTTACTCTGATCCTGGAAACATGGCTACTCTTACTGTTTTGGAGGACAAAAAACTGAATTCACTAACACAATGGAGAGGTTTCCTTCAGAGATACTCCATATTTAGGCCTACCACATTATACTGACAGGAGAAAATCTCCCCCATCCCATCCAACAACGGATTTCATCCCATCCAAAATTTATACCTTACCCCTTACGCTGTCAAGAAAAAAATACTAATCGTGACAAACGTTTTCTGCTACATGTTGTACGTTTAATTTGTCAACTAGAAATTGTAGGGGTGGGGGTGGGTAATGGCTCCACCCAAAACATGGAGAACAAACGATGGGAAAAGAAGGTCACAGAACTCTGGAGCTTGTTCTCAGCACATTTTAGTTGTGGGTGGATAGGTGGGCGGGAGAAAGCAAGATGATTTCTTCCAGCATCATAAAGCACGAATAATGGCTACTTCAACAAAATACAATTCTCTAGGTTTCGTAACAAACTAGAAAAGAATCTGTTTCCTTTCCCTTAGCAAATATGCACACGGGTCACAACTGATTATCATTCTTGTAAAACTGCAGATTAAGCTCTATTTCAGGTGCACTATACCATAGGATCACACAAATATATGAAAACATCCTATGAAATGGCGAGACAAAATGATGGGGACTATCACCATGAAATCTACAAGGAGGAACCCGTGTCATGCCAAAAGCGTCTCCATTGATAAAATCCCGACCCATCTGTTCTCATGACACTGCAAACCCACCTCTCTCTAAGGAAATGAACAGGAATCACCACAGCAACCAACCTCAGCAAACGGCATCGACCAGATCGACCCCTACTCAAATGGCGTTAAACACCGCGGGTCCAAGCCCCTCCCTGAAGCTGCCAAGTCCCGCGCTGACTCCAGACTACCTCACTTCCTTTTCGTCCTCCCTCTCATGCGCGACCCCCGGCACTCCTCGCCAACCCTTGCCACTGACAGAGAAGGTAGAAACAAGACAGACTTCGTACACTTTGTCTGGGAAGTACCAGGGCCACACATACCCGTCCCTATTACGATCACATCAAACTCCGAAGGGAGATTATCCGCCATCTTGAGAGGCAACGTGTCATGTGACTATTGCTTGTGGAAATGAGATCAAGTTAGGTATTCCCTGGGTAGGAGGCGGAAGGGAAAATAGTGCTTTCTGGGTATTGTAGTTCTTGCATGGAGGCTCCAGGTAGACAACTCCAGCGTTCGATTTGAAGTGTTTACGCAAATGTTAAAAGCTCCACTCACTTTCCAAGCTGAGTGCAGTAGCTCGTTTAACTCGGAGGTTTGAATTAGAAATGTAGAATTTTTACTAATTCACTAAGATGAGTGTGGGAAAATTTGGGTACCTCTCGACAAAGATACAGCAAGAATTGTTAGGAGGCCTGGATGGCAGGGTGAACATGAAAGGATCTTGCTCTGTTAACAAAGGAGGTTTACATTCCAGCCCGAAAATCTTTAACCAGCCGGTCAGTACTTTTCATTCCGGCCCCTGAGGCATGGTTTTTCTCATCAATAACTTTCATACTATAGTCAGTGTCTTTGTAGTCTCTATATCTCCCCAGTGAAAACCCACAAAAACCCTTGCCCTAGTTTAGCCACAAAATCTAATGGTGCCCGAATGTTCTAGTTAATACAAGCAGGTGTTCTAGCAATATATATTTGCAAAATTAGCCTTGCTATACAAGAATGGAGGAAAGGGATGTGAAAGCATAGTAGACGTTAAATGTTTAAGTCAGAATCTGATTTTCCGCTCAAATAAGACAAGTCCATGCAAGATTCTCCCATTAAGTTACTGCAAAAAATTATTTAAGTAAAATGACTGTTAAAAGACTCATTTGATGGGGGCCTTTAGGTTTTCTATACCAAACAGCTAAAATAGTTTTCTTGAGTATTCTCAAGTTTTTTTTAACTTCCTACTCACCACTATTTAAAATGTTTTTCTACCTGACAAACCCCAAAAGCAAAAAAAAAAAAAAAAAGTGGAAAAGTACATTGAAGTGAGGGGGATACTGTTGTGATCTCAGAAATTACTTCTGAGATTCTTTTATACTACTTTCAAAATAAACCCAGGAGACTTTTCAGTGGTGGTGATACTGCCATTTATCAGTGTCCAGTTCTGCTTCCTCACATGTTGAATGAAGTTTGAACATTAGAGAAGCACACAGAGTCAGGCATATAAAGCAGGGTTTATTTAAAAAGTAGTAAGGTAGACTTCTCCCAGGAGAGAGAAGAGGGCCATAGCTGGTATATTGATATCCCAAGAGTGAGGTGTTCAGTCCTTTTTATATGTCCTAGGCTTCCTTTGTTTTCCTCCTTTTTCCCCCTTATCTTTCTCCTTCCTGCCACTGTGACTACTAGGCTCAGGAATGCTTGGTGGGAGGGCCCAAAGGTGGGAAACTGGTGGGCTGAAGGGGGAAGGGCAAGAAACAGTAGCCAAGGACACATTAACAACCTTATAACTCCCTGTAGGGAGCAGCAGTTTCTGGGACAGGTTACCTTGGCAACAGGTTGGAGAAGGGGCAGGTTCTTGGTAAGGGTGGAGGAAGGGCTCTGAAGGAATTAACATTTCAATCCCTCAGGGCAGTTTCCAACTTTCCAGACTCCATCAAAATGGGCCTCTTTGATTGGACCTGACTTGATTTACCTATCTCTACTGACTACCTGTCTAATTCTGGCTTCAGTGGGACCTTCCCCTACACCACCTGTTCTCTGAGCTGCCTGTGGTCCCCCAGGCCCATTCTTTCCTTGCAGGTCTTTGTGATCATGCTGAAACTCATGTTTCTGTAGCATAGAATTATCTATTCTTAACATTAAGGAGGAGATATATTTAACCTGATTTGAACATTACACAATTTATACATGTCTCAAAAGAGCATATCATACCACATAAATATGTTCAATTTTAATGTGTCGGTGAAAAAATAAAATAAATAAAAGCAAAGAAGATTTTTTAGAGAACAACGAAATTTGGGGGGATTTTTTTAAAAATAAGTTTTGGTTCAGCTTCTGGCTCCTCCTCCTTTCATCTCCACCCTATATTGGGCCAAGTTTCCCTACATGGTGCTATTACTTGTCATAACCTACCATATTAAGCTGAAATTATTTACATTTTCATTCCTATAAGTTACACATATCCCCAAAAGTACAAAAACACAAACACAGACACTATAAAACCCTGTTTTCATACTAGGAATTCAATCAATGTTTGCTGAACTGAACTTACTGTCATAACAAATTATAAACCCGATGAGGACATGGACTTAGTCATTGTCTCCTTTATATCTGCTCAACACAATCATGTGTCTTGTATTTTTATGATGCTCCAAACATTTGTTAATTTTGAAATGTTCTATGAAACCCCTTAAAAATGTATTTTTTGTGGATTTCTTTGGCTTTATTTCTGCCACATTTTCCCAGAATCATTAGCAATATTATAGAAGTTTATTAATTTTCTTTATAGATTATACTGTTGTACTAATTCTCTTGCAATATGGTCATCTGATGAATATTTCATGTAAAATAGGTTCCCCAGAGAAATATAATGTATTGTTCAATAAATCACTGTGTCATTTGCCTTAGAATGAAAAGAAAGTTTTGACTATTATCAGATATGAGCTAGATCTTATCTGTGAGATTCTTGATATACTAGTGGCAATGAAAATTAATAGATTTCCCAGAGTAAACAAGAAACTTCCAAAAATAATCTCTAAAACTGAGACTCCATGACTGGGGCTGTAATTCAATGGCAGAGCACTTGCCTAGCATATGTGAGGCCCTGAGTTAGATCCCCTCTGCCAGGGGAAAAATGTGAGATGCCACAAATAGATGGTTAAAAACATAATAAATCAAAGTATTACTTTGGAGATTTATTTATATACATGCATGTATATGTGTTACATATCATATATAACCTTTTCAATATGGGTATCTAAGTTTCTAATTTACATAAATTTCTCTAACGATTATACCATGAAGATAGAACTCATTAATTAATTTGTCCCTCAAATATTCCTTAAGCACCTACTATGTGCAAAGCACTAGTTTATAAGTTGGGACTATAGCAATGGAAATTTGCATCTAGTGGAGTAAAATAAAATAAATAAATAGTTAATTCTGTCGAACTAACTTTCCAACCTGGCTTAAAATTTGAAAACACCTTTTTTTTTTCCTGCTGATAGAAAGCTCACTCCTCAGAAAGATAATATGACCAACCCAAATTTAGATATCTTCACTCCAAAGTTATATGACTCATTCACACCCTCTCTGGGTGTACAAACAATTATTACATTGAGAAAACTTAAACCCTCTGCATTGAGAAAAAGTTCAAAATACTTTTTTTTTCAAATATACTTTCTTAGATGAAACCAAGAGTTGATAGTGTCAGTAAGAAAGGAATAAAAAAAAAGAACTGAATTATTTTCTATCATTCTAAGAACATCTAATTTTGAGAGCTGAAATACTTTATTTGGATAAATCATAGTACAATAGAATAATAGAAAACTAAGAAATGACCACCTTACTAAATCACTGTGACACTAATTTTGTATATAATGGTTTCCTATGTTGCAATAATAACATTCCCTGAATATGTATTTTGTATTTAGAAGTTTACTCAACTGTAAGATGACTAGTATTTTTTACAAACCAGTAATTTAAATGGTCTCTCTCCCTTCAGACTTTCTATTGAGCTTCATAACCAACTATCTAACCCCTCACTCAACAATTCTTCTATGCATGTCCAATACTGAACTCCTGAATATTTCAATTCTATCCTGAAACCTTCTTTTACTCCAGGGCTCTCTGCCTTAGAAATGGTAAGACTGTATTTACTCAAGTCAAAAACTCAAGAGTAGACCTCAGCAACTTGTGCCAGATTTGTCTACAAAATGTGGTCTAAAAGACCCTGCTAAACTGTCCAGTCTGGTATCTCTTCCCCTTCATTCTGTAACCTCCAGCCACATTAGCTCTTCTTCCTTTCTTCTAAAAGCCTATGCTTCTTCCTGCTCAAGTTTTTCCCACATTCTCTTACATGTGTCTAAAGTGTACCATTATCCTTCTCCACCCCTTTCTCCTAGTTTAATCCTACTCATTCTTTACTGTTACTTAAAATGTCATGAACTCTAAGAGTCTTTGTTGAGTCCCCTTTCTAGTTTAATTATCCCTATTACCTTATACACCTCCTTTGTTGAACTTATCATTGTTGGAAATATCCAATCATATATAATCATTTGTTTCATCTTGCTAAAAGGTAAGCTCCATATAGACAAGGACAGTGCCTGTATTATTCATCACTATATTCCCAGGGCATAATCCAGTGCCTATTACAGAGTGGCATTCCAAAATATCTGCTGAATGAATAGATGAATGTTAATTATATGAATTCTTGAGGAAAAAACATGTTATAATAATTAATTCTATTATAATCGGAATAATATGAGTCAGCTGCCCCGAACATTTATTTCAACCTCTGGTCTTTGGTTTGTAATTCATTACATATGTAGTTAATACAAATTCAAATCAGAAAAAAGGGACAATACCACTAAGACTACTAAGTGTCCATATCCTGCCTGACCCCTAATTTTTTCCCTAGAGATAAACATTATTTATTACCAGTTTCTTATGACCTGCTAGAGATAATACAATAATAAAGAGCATTTGTGTAGCACAAACGGTAGTACGCTATAAATATTATTATTTTCTTTATACCTTTTTTATCCCATTTTATTTTGAAAATCTTATGCTCATAAATACAAGTGATGCTGCAATGAACATTCTTCTTTAGAGAGGCAGTATGGATAATGGTTCTGAGTTCAGGTTCTTGTACAGACTCTCTAGGTTTGAGTCCCAGTTCTATCATTGACCAACTGGCCACTAGCAAGTGATTTAACTTTCA